AAAAAAAAAACAAAACAAAAAACAACCAAAAGAAAAACCACAAACAAAAAAAAAACAAAACCCCACACCACTACTTTTTGGTTTTCTTCCTAGCTGCTTTCTTTCTCTAGTGTCACTCATAATACGGAATTCAACCACAGTTCGGACTCATTATTAACAAGTTCTTTGGTTACACACTTTCATTTGATTGTATTGCTACGGAATATTTGTTCTAATATCACATTTCATGCTGTATTTTTTTTTAGGATTCCAGATTTTTTTCAGATGTTGCGTAGCTGGAGCATATTTGCTTCTGTAGAATATTCTCAAAATTTTTATTTCCTTGAGCTAAATATAGAAGTTCCTCCTGTGGAAGGAGGCAGAATATGTCCAAATCATATATTAAACAAACGAAGACAAAACACATAAACCATTAGAAATACTACTTGTTGAATATAATGCAGCAATGAAAATACCAGTTTTCATACTCCACTGTTGAGTCTGCTCTTCCCTATCTTTTGCAGCGCATATAGCTTCTGGCTGAAGTAGTTTTATTTCTCCCTTTTGTGTCTCCCATAAATGTCCATGTCACTGAGGATCATTTAATTCATGGATGCAGTTAGTCTTTGCAGCACCTTTGTTTTCTGAGTGCTATACGTTTTATGTTGGTGCAATTAGCATGGATTTATTCTTGTAAACAGCTGCGATGATTTAGACAATGCAGCCATGGTACTGTAGATGTTTTCTCCTCAGTCTTTCGTCAGATGAGCAGTTCATGTGTGTGCTTCATAATCTACTTCAGGTCAGAGCTTCAAGACACAAATGAGCAACTGGAGGCAGTATAATTTTAAATAGCTCAACTGGGTTTAAAAATAGTGTGTCACTCTATAGCTGTATTTAAGAAATTACAGATAATTTTGGCCTTCTAGAAGATTAACAGATGTAAATTTACCTAGAACAAATATTATAGACTGGGCTACTGCAAACCATAGGTTTACTTGTAGTTTTTTATAGTTGCAGAAAGTAAAGGATGATCTTGAAATTGTGCTGTCAATGATTCAGTCAAAGAATAAAAACCTGGAAGAAGAGCTGAAAAGGTAATATAATAATTTGAATTTAAGAATGCTGTAAGCTTTGTCATGACACATTATGTTTATTGACTGTCCAGTAAAACTGTTTTATCTGTTGCAACATTTCCTGCTTTTCACATTTCACAGAGAACAGCAGTGGTATGAAGAACAGAAGCAGTTAGTAGATACTCTTAGTAGAACTGAAGAGGAGACAAAAAACCAAGTTGAACAACTTTCTGATAAAAGGTATTTCCACTTTTTTTTTATAGTGAAAAATTTAAATATCACCAAGAGCAAATGAGCAAACGAACTTAACCATTCTCCTTCTTCTGTTAAATAGATCAAAAATAACTCAGTAATCCATATTTGAAGCACAGAAAATATTGCTACTATCTGCCTATATCCTGTGATTCAAGGTGTTGAACTTATAACAATAAAAAGCAAGGAATTTTTTTACTTAAGAACTTCTTATTTATTTTATTAAATTTCATATTCTACTGCTATGTTTCTATAATTAGATTGAATACTAGAGCATTTCATGAGCAGAAAAAGAAGATCTTGAAACTAAAGACATATAAGAAAGAACTACTGACTGTTCTGGATGAATTCCTGGAAGAACATTTTCCTCTTCCAGAGAAAGGTGGAAGTACTAAAAAGAAGGTAAGATTTTCTCAAGAACTATTAAATCTTGAATGTTCAATTAGATGCAAGATCTTTTTAAAGTCACTAGCACAGAATCTACAGTTATATTTTGAAATTAGTATAGTTCTTACAGTTGATCCTTTAGGTTTGATATTCTTCAGGTTGGTTTATATTATTTAAGGCTGTTCCCAGCTGGACATTTTCTTTTTAATGCGTATATCCTTTACTCAGTGTGATGCGTAGCAATGTATTGTATTTCTTACCGAACTGCAAGCTGTGCCAAATTTGGAACTGGTGAGGGGTTCACTCCAAATTGTTCCATTTTCTTTTACTGGACTAGGCAAGTGTATTCATGTTTTCATTGGCAAAGTAAATTTTAATTGTCTAACAATGTTTTTGGAACAATAATAAGGACAAATGTTTACAATTACAGTGCAGTTTGGAATGTTAACCATCAGTTTCTGTTCAGGCAAACTGGACCAAAAATTACCATAAAACTTTAGGGAAATTGGAGAGTATTTTACATAATAATTTTGAAGTCTACAGTAAAAGTAAACCTTTACTATTTGAAAGACTAGTTACAAAAAAAGCTAGGAAAAAAACGGGGGTTGATTTTTGATTTTCAGACATGTAAGAATACAGAAATAGACAGTTTTTTCTTCAATATACTTCCCTACTATTTCAGACAACCACATAATACAATTTCTTTAATATCATTGAGCTCTGTTTTAAAACTAATTATTTTTGTTACTACTATTCCACTGGGGTTTATTCTAGTACCTTAGAAACTGTCTCCTAACTTCCAGTCTAAATTTATTAATGTCTAACACAGATCCATATATTGTTATGCAGTATTGTCCTTAGAATAGGTCTTCCTTGTGTTTATTCCTCCTGTACATTTGCAGACAGCAATCTTATACCCCCTGCTTCTTTATTTTGTGAATTGAACTAGAAAAGCTCTTTTATTCTTCTCCTGTAAGGTAAGTTTTTTATTTTTTTGTTTTTCCCCTGGCTTATCCCAGTAAGACCAATTTTCTATCTTTGCTTCCACTCGGATTCATCTTTTTTGGAACCCGGTGAAAACCAGTATTATAAAAAAGGCTACTAGCTTACAGTCGTCACAGAAGCAGCTAATTACACTCCTGTGTCATCGTCTTCCTGTTAATCTCAACTGATGAACCTTGAGCTTTTTGGTTCTGTCATTGTTAAATTAAATCTTAGATTTGCACAGAAGTATATAAATAGCATGAAGAATACCACATGGAGCCTTCAAGGCATGATGTCCATTTTCAAAGTCTTTTTCAATCACTTTCAAACATAATATTATATTATATTTTGCTTATACTACTATTCTGGTTCCACCCTCCTTTAACCAGGCACCTACATCTAGGATTGGGAGTGGGAAGGAAGACTCACAGCAGCCCAGGTTAGCTTCTGTTGCTGTGGCCCAACACTTTTACTATAGCTAGTGGTTGCAGTAAGAATTATCTTGCATTTTAAATCTCAGATAAAAAGACTTACCCCCCCAAGTTAAGATGTATGAAAAGTCATATGTTAACGAATATTCTTTTTGTCAAGAATAATATATCAAGAATCTCCATGGAATGCAGGAGGTGCCTTTTAAGTTAAATAAATGCTGAGCTTCCTGCTTAAAAGTGACTTTAAAAACATTAATTAGACATACTTATTATATTGGTTACACTTAAAAATATGTAAGTAATGTAATTTTACAAAACAATGTGTACAGCATGTAATATAAACTTAGCAAAGTAAGTTTGCTAGTTCTGTGAGAGTGCAAACCTCTTTCCACTTACATCCTTAGGATCTTACTCTTTGTATATCCCTTCTAGTAATTACTGAAGTCATAGCCTAATTTCAACTTTGCAACATGAATACTGAATCATTAACTAAAGTTACAAAGTAGTAGTTTGGCCAGGGAAATTCTTCACAATTATTCTAAGGAACCTTTTGCAGTCTTGTGTAAATTCTTATTTCTTCAACCTGTTATCAAGACAAAGGCACTGTCATGGTTTAAGCCCAGCCAGTAACTCGGAACCACACAGGCACTTGCTCACTCCCCACACTTCTTCCTCATCCTGCTCCCAGAGGGACAGGGACGAGAATCGAAAGAATGTAACTCCCACAGGTTGAGATAAGAGCAGTTCAGTAACTAAGGTATAACACAAACCACTACTGCTACCAATGATAATAAAAAGAGGAATAACAAGGGGAGAGGACACAACCGCTCACCACCTGCCGACCGATACCCAGCCCGACCCGAGCAGCGATCTCGGCCTTCTGGGTAACTCTACCCAGTTTATATACTGGGCATGACGTGCTGTGGTATGGAATACCCTTTGGCCAGTTTGGGTCAGGTGTCCTGTCTCTGCTTCCTCCTGGCTTCCCCTTCTCCCTGGCAGAGCATGAGACTGAGAAAGTCCTTGGTCAGAGTAAATATTACTGAGCAACAACTAAAAACATCGGTGTTACCAGCTTTGTTCCCAGGCTGAAAGTAAAAAACACAGCACTTTACCAGCTACTAAGAAAGAGATAAAATGACTGCTGTAGCTGAACCCAGGACAGTCTCCCTCTACAGTACGTAAAAGTTCTAATAGGGCTGGGCCAGCCCTATTGGCAGATCC